TGGGTCTTTCCCCTCTCTCTCCCTAGTGCAGGTACCGTGGTCGAACCACCACGAGCCCCGGACGGGGAAGAGTAGCCGCTTGTACGCTCCCCTACTGACCTTGACCTAGGTTTTGTAGTCCCGACTTCCGGTTTTGGTTTCGATTGAATACACGTGTGTCGTTACCACGCTCCGGTGTTCTCTTCTGTCCCACCCGACCTGTGCGCGTGTGTGCTGCGTATACCGTGTGGATTCATTAATACCAGTCCGTATATCTGCACATTTCAGAACTGACGTGTGCCGTCGCTACATCTTTTCGAAGGTCGAATACCCTGACTTCCTAACGTCCCGCGCTACACACCCCCTCAGTTATTGTGCGATTCCTGTTCAACACCCCCTCCTGTTCACACCCACTCCCTACACATTTGTACTGTTTTTTCTACTTCTGTTTTGCTATAATGGCATTATATTGGCAAGCTTTTTCAGTCCTATATTGCTGGGCTACTATGCGTAAATCATATCATTCAGCTACTCGCTTTTACCACGGTAACCACAATGAACTTTCAGCCGTTATTTTTTCTCTATTGACGGGCCACATCATATCTGGTATATCCTCGGACTCACCATGACTTACCAATCTCACCCGATTCCTTCCGCTTCCCAAGCACCGAACGCCCTAAGTGGCCGGTATCCACATTACCTTTTGTGTGCTTCACATCTAAAAGGATTTTTAACCAAACCAGATCTACAAATGATTCCACGTCGTGTAATTTCCACCTCCATGGGTTCCTTGGACACTTCACGATCCCGCTGCATACCGAATTTCACAATTCCAGTCCAGTCATCTCAAACATCACGTCCGCTACGGGGCCGTCAAGAAACCGGAGTATACTGGTGCACTAATGGTACTACCATACCAAATCTGATGGCACGCCCTCAACTATTCTGTAGTTACTACTGATTGTATCCCCCGCTCACTCGCTCCTCCGTCTGCAACTGCGAACAAATTCTTCACCTGGTACCAGCCGAAGCTGCGGTGAGTTTTTTCTAATTAGCTGAACCTCCCGCTCGGACCTTACCATCTCGGCAGGCTAGCAGTCTGTGTTTCTCACAAAGTCAATCATCTTTCTTACAGTTCATGTTCTGTCCTGTGGGTTGGCAAAAACGCACTTCCCCAGAGAATTTTTGCACTCGACGCCCCTCTAAGAGCGATTCCAGTGAGTCAATATAATTTCCCCTTACACCGTGATTACGGTATGCAAGTTGCCATATACCCATGTAATGGTGTATATTACTGATGGAGCATGCAACCATGGTGTATGTCCAGGGTCCCCCCGATATGGTGCAAGAGAAAGTTCATTATGCGAATTTTAGAACTGCTTTGTAGCTTTCCTTACCATCGCTTAGTAGTCAATGAATCAGCCGGAAATTTCAAGAAGACGCATGAGATTATATGGATTTTGATGACTATGTGCAAATGAGATGTTTGCAACCCGTCTAACGACATCTAACTGCTTATTTTGTGCTTGCTAATGAATGAGTTTGCAGAGAAAGTTGTTTTCTTCTCCTCTGTATTGAGAATTGCTCTAGCTCATCTTCATCATCCCTTATTGCACTTTTTCTACCGTGGCAGCGTACACTAGGGAACATTTCTACAATTTAGGTCAAATCTTCCTGCTGCATCACTTAACCTTCCATTCCTCACTAGGTTTGTTTTCCTGGTTCCTCATCTCCCGCATTTTTGAATTTCCCTATTGCGTGTCACACACGATGCCATAAGTTTGCCCCCACTCGTTGCGCTTTTACCCATCATCTTCAGGTTGTTGCGGACTCATCTTGGCTAAGCTTTGCTTGTCTCACAATGGACTGGAAAACAGTAATAATTGTGATTTTCCGCCTTGAGTGTCCAATGATTTTGATCATGCTATTTTAAGAATGACAGCATATGTAACAGATTTTGTGTGACCGCTTCGTTTCCGCACAATTCCACGCGCCCACAAATCCTAACATTCTCGCTTCCATTCCGACTCTACTACATAATGACGCTCGGCGGTATGCCTTCCGTCACCTGGGATTAATCATTGTTAATAGTATTATTACGGCATTCGTGTGTCAAAATCGTGTACATTCTCCGCGAGCAGCCAGTACACTCTATCATATAGCTTTCCTAGATAAAGTCGCACAGTAGGTTTTCTGTCCAGCACAATACTAGCGGATATTCCGCCAAGACCAGCACGCACCAGCAGGTCCATACGGCACCCAAAGTTCTACCCTGACCACAAGTCCCACTGGCCTTATATCACCCTCTCTTGTGCTGTGATTGCATAATCCGGTAAGGTCCACCTGTGCAACGTGAAGAACAGTCATCTGGGGAACGACAACGGTTGCCTGAAAATGAAAAGAACCACTCAGTAGTCTCAATAATGCAACAGAGAAGAATTTCCGGCAGGTTGGGTAGCTCAGGAAGTCGAGGGACATACGTCGTGTCATTGTGACTAGAGGATAGTCCCGGAGGTGAATGCCTATATTCTGAACGTTATCTGCCGTGTGACCACGTACGTATTTTTCGAGGTGTTGTAAGCCACCGCTTTTGTGGTTGCTCTGTTATCATTTAAGAACAAACGGAATGAGATAAATGTTTGTTGCCTGATTTAAAGTCCCTGGCACAAACGTCCTGTTGCACTCAGAAGTTTGAAGCCTACAGTGGTCAATGCGTGTGCCCCGTGCGCCTAATAGTACAAACCACGATACACATCCGATGTCGACTGTCTACCGTCTGGTACGGTAGCAAAAAGTCATGTGCTGACACTCACACACACGCAAACGTCCTACAAATAGGATGCCAGCACAGCAACACGACACAACTCAACAGAGCTTCGTACGTCGCCCAGCTCGGAGCAGAGCCGCTCAGGATTTTTACGGCGTTTCACTCACGGATATCCAGGACTGCGTGTGGCTGTTACAACAGCGAAGAAGACACGAAACCTGCATCCGGATTTACAACAGGATTTATCAAACTGTACCTGCAAAACGATAAATCCCTTGTTTGCATGTATATCTGCCGTAATAATTTAACTCAACAAGCGGACACTGTTAGCGCTCCCCGTATTCTCGTTCGTATAACTAGTTTTCGGGTTCCGTTAGAGCATTAACAGTTACATGTTCCGGCGCGTCGAAGTGGTGCACCCGATCTTTAAGCCGGGCGTTCGTGTTCTCCACACGGTTGTTTGATACATTACCGAGATAAACCCTATCTGACTGTGCGAAATGGCCGATTTTCAGGGTAATGCGCAACCAGCGGGCCGTAAGATAGGAAACAAATTGAGGGTCTGTGTGGTGCAGAAGCTGCAGGTTTTACCGGAATTTGTGTGCTTGTAGTACGATGAACAAAATACCTACTGAGGGTCTGTGTGGTGCAGAAGCTGCAGGTTTTACCGGAATTTGTGTGCTTGTAGTACGATGAACAAAATACCTACTGTACAACGGTATCTGGGCAAGACATGCGATGAAGTATGTGCCGGCTGTTCGCAGGATGTGTTTGTGACCAAAAATACATGGATATTAAATGATACATTCGTGCTTTCTGATGGATCTGCGGAGATGAAAGTAACAAAGCATAACATCACAGTGGAACGCGAGCCCTGCTGCACGCATTTGCACTACCAACTAGTTCATTACAAAGGTCTTAACCGGATAAGTTTCGCGCATCATTGCCTTGAATACGTCGAACAGTTTACGCGTGGGAGCAAACCGCCCGCTCTCTACGAATGCATACATGACCGGGCGCCCGGTTCCCGTGCCGTCCGTTATCAAGAAGGTGTGCTGTTCAAATCTACATGCTGAATATTAGACGCTTTAAGAAAATTATTGAAGTCGGTTTGTTGAATGCGTTTCGTCTACATTCACTACACCTGGAAAGCGTCGGAATAATGCCATCCGCTGCCGTTCGGCGAAGCATATGTGGATAAAGTGACCTTCCTCTGACTGGGACACAAGCACACATCCGGTCTCCCGAAGTTTTGCCAGGACCGAAGACATATCATCTGCCAGACTAAAACCCAGCTGTGCGATACCTACTCAACATAGCCGGTCGACACTTCCGGCGGCGGTTGTATATATCCTGAGGGGTAAGAATCTTGCTGAATTCATCCGCCGCACTTCACACGAGGGCGCTCCATATTTCAGAAGGGCCTTGCAGGTGCTTAACTCGTCTTCGGTTAGTCGTCGATTAACTGGATACCGGTCGTACAGAAACTTTGACAACTTGCGGTTGTCTTCCAGAAAGTAAGAGGTGACCGCCAGTTGGTTCCTTTGCCTCCGTGGGCGAAACCGCACTGGGCAGTTTGAGCTTCGCGTACTTTTATTCATTAGAAAATACACTCGGTTTACTAGCTTCTTCGGATTCCACGGCTTTTCATTGGTCTTGGAGAGCGCCCGCTGCATTGGTAGTACACCTATTCGTAACGCAAAACAGCGTTGGTGCTTCGATTACTGAATGAACGCACAAATACCCCAATGGTCCTTCATGTATTGATTTAAGGCCTTCTCAAATGCCGTGACGGATGGAAACGATACACCCGAAAATGTCTCAACGAACGCTCGTGAAGCCACTTCCGGAGCCATAGTACACCATGTTCAACGCCGAATGCGCGCCAACAATTTCGAGAGGAGATTAATTAAAAGAAATCGCCAGAAATGTGACGGCAGATGAGGGTGATTTTTGGAACGAGCACATGTGCAAAGAATTGGAACATTTTGATGTCTAAGTTTTTATTTCACCCGCAAGCGTTTTGGAGAAAAATGCATTGTGCTTCGAAGGCACGGCCCCGCAGATGTGTCCTTCATCCCAATTGTTGCTGATCTAAATGTCTCCAAGGCCGCCTGATGTAAATCTCCCTTTTGGCGGGTATCATGAAGACGTGACGCCGCATTCCTTCATAAAGAGCATGGATACTGGATCCAGCCCAACTCAAAAGCAGGGCACAAGGTATGTCTATTGCCCAATTTTTTAGAAATGAATTTGTAGAGTTTTCAAGAAGAGCAGTCCGAATGGGAAGGTAACCTCACCTCAGCTGAAATCGAATATTGTAGATAACAACTTACTTATGCAAACGGGATTTCATTGATAGTCTTACACACTGCGATCCAATAGGTGAGTCCGAAGTTTGAATAATACAATAGAAAGAGGATGCAAATGTGTTACTTTACCACGGTTTTCGTAAAGTCGAATTTGCCCCCACCGATACCTCTCAAAATTTGTACATGGTTCCCTGTCCGAGACTGATGGGGAACTTATTTTCGGTTGTCGTAATAAGTTATACAAGCGACAGAAAATATGCCATTACCGTAAGGCTTTTAACTGTAATCACGCCACACCAGTTTCCAGAACGAAGACTGAATTGCACATAAAACCCAGTGTAATAGTGGTGCTTGTGTGCCACTGCCTTCTAGACACCCGCGATCTCTCCTTGTATGTCCCCTGGCAGCTTTCGACTGACTTGGAAGCCACAAACATCTGCAAAGTGACTTCGAGAGCTCTTAACTTTTTATCACGTGGATGGACGAGCGAGGCGGAAGTGTTCCCTATTTGTAAAGCGCGAACGAAAGGCAGACAAAGTCACGGCTGAAATGCTGCTAAATTTTATTCTCCGAATCGCCTTTCAGTTCACCTCGCATACTTCTTGCAACTTGAAGACCGGAGACCCGAAGCAGAAGCCCAAATGACAAGCCATATACTGTTCCCATAGCTTTGATAGTGATTATTTGTCGTTTTGCTATCTAAACCAGGTTGTTTCGGTTGCCGCCTGACAATCCCCGTCTTGAAAACCGCAACTGTCCTATCCTTTCTCGAATAAAAGTGCAACGATTGACCGACCCCAGATTTTTGGAATGCATTCTTGTCCCAACTAAGTGAACGCCTATCCTTTCCGAATAAAAGGGCAAACAGTGACCGACCCCAGATTTTTGGAATGCATTCTTGTCCCAACTAAGTGAACGCAAAAGAACAACCCTCCATTGCCTTTAACCAACTTTGTTGGGAGCTCGTCTGATCCAGCAGTCCAGGAGTGCCTCAAAGTAGAAGGGCGTACTAATATTTCTGAAGTATTGGCCCCAGTTGAGAGGGCCAAATGAGGGACAGGGACAGGTGGCCGAATAAACTTTTGTCCAAAATATCAGGCGGTCAAGACGCTTATTCTTGTCACGCGGCAACTTCCCAATGTTTTTGATTACCCCACCAACAGCCGGTTTTTTCCCTCCCGTCTCGCATATCAGGTGATAATGTTTCCAGACATTCCATGTACTAGTTTTCACCCTTTCCTGATTTCACAGACTTGTACTGGAAGTTTTGGCTAGCTCGAGACAAATGATTCTCAGCACAACTGATGAAGTTGTCCATTATCTACACGATGACGTCATCCCCAAATCAGCCGCTAAGGTGGACTTCTTCCGCACTTAGTCGGCCGAGCCGGACATTCATGCCATCTTCCAGAATGACCATCATCACTTCTTGCAGAGCGAAGTAGCAGTGACGTATCGATAGAAGTCTGAGCTGCCATCTATTGCAACGTATGTTGATAAAACGAATAAATACTTTATTTCGTCGAGATGTACTGATCTTAACTGAGCCGGTCAACCGGACAGCGTAAAGACGACTATTCACTGGAATCCTCATCATTTGAGGCCACAACATCACTGTTGAAAATGGTGCTTCATCGCCAGGCAGTCTGAAAGTCCATTTGGTTTTTCGAAGGCCAAAAAAGAGTAGATGAGGGAGGGGGTTTGGTGCCAGTCTATTACAAGCGTCCCGAGTAGCCTGCGAATCTAGTTCAGTGAAGAGCATTCATTTCTGAGGCTAAGCACGCCACAACATGTTGAAAATGGTGCTTCATCGCCAGGCAGTCTGAAAGTCCATTTGGTTTTTCGAAGGCCAAAAAAGAGTAGATGAGGGAGGGGGTTTGGTGCCAGTCTATTACAAGCGTCCCGAGTAGCCTGCGAATCTAGTTCAGTGAAGAGCATTCATTTCTGAGGCTAAGCACAACTACCACGCCGTAGATACCAAGCACCACTGCATCAGCGTCACCATACATCCAAACAGTAACGTGCGAGAAGTTCGGGTTCACCCCGAGCTGTGCTGAGGTCTCGAATGTGTGTTTCGAACATGTGTTAGTCGAAATAGAAAACAAGGTTTGAGCAAAAGGTAGATGTTGCCCCACTGGACAGGTTACGGGCCTTGAAAGCTGCAATATGGAACTAGCCTTTTGAATTTACTAGGGTTTTTTATTCTGGTTTATTTTACTGGATAGGAGTGTAGGTATACAGGACCGTTTAACGGTTTGACTCGGCTGTAGGCCACCTCAAAATTGGGGTCTTGGACTCATACTGTTTCGGACTTTCAACAACGACGAAAGTCCTCATCACACCGTCCGCTGCGACCTGCAGAGGAATAAAGCATCCAAAATGACCCAGGCACGTCCTGCAACAAGTCACTGGAGGGAAACCTCCATTTTCCCCTCTTCGCTGTTTTCGATTCCCGTATCCTGGATACCATGACTGATATGGGTATCTAATTCAACTAGAAACGAGAAGGTCCGTACAATATTAGCATGCCGCAGGCTCACCTCTGAACAAATCTTTTAGCTGCATGAAGGTTTATGGATAGATGCCTGACTAGATGCAAAGTAAGCGATTATGCTTGATACCCAATCACTTTTAGTATTTCCAGTACGTGTTGACCAGTCCGTAACGATCTTGACCGTCACGAAGAGACTGGGCCTTACCGTGGTGTGACGATTTGCGCATCTTATCAACCCATTGAGTTATACTGAGGGGTGTCCCCGCGACACTCACAGGGTCTCTCATACCAGGTCGATCAAGGACTAGAGGCTGACGAACACAGTCTCCTGACCCTCCAGGTTGGGGGTCGGAACATGTGTGGCGTCGTGTTCCGTAAAAATGGCAATGTACTCGCATTTCCAACCCAACACCCCTGCCTTGCGGTTAGACTTTTGAGTTAAAGGCTTTGGTTGAGGACACTAATCGTCCTCTTGTCTAGGTGTGGGCGCCATGGTAGTATCCCAGCCCACGTACAATCATGAACTGCACACATACAAATAAACTCATGCCACATTGGCCGTCGCGTGATGCCATCAGCTGGGTCGCCTTACTTGCTGCATACAGCAGGGCGGGTAAGCGAAAACAGGATACTACCGACGACTCCCTTCTTTTTCTTTCAAATACTTTTTCTTCTCCCTCTCCCCACCTCATTAATAACCCTCCTCTTGTAAGCTCAGAAATTGGGGCTGATGACTCCGTTCGTCTTGCATCGGTTTTGCGTGCAGCATCTGCTCCAATGTTCGCACTATGAAGCAAGCAGGACAACAAGCTGCTCTTGCACTCACATTGGACTCGCTTGGCATTGATGTGTGCTGTATCTCATAAACGAGAATTCAAGATGCAAGCACAGTGGTTGAGTTAACCGCCCCGTCAGTCTCCACTCGTTTCCGTCTGCGCACCTCTGGTGATCCAGAGGCTGCTGCGGTGGGGTGTGCAGGGGTTGGTATTGTGCTAAGTCACCGGGCGGAAGTATCCTTACTTGACTGGATACCTGTTGATAGTCGCCTCTGTGCGGTTCGTCTGGCAGCGTCTGTGAAGGAGTCTCACAAGCGGCAAGTTGATAGATGTCTGTTTATCGTGTCTGCCTATGCCCCAACTGACTGTAGCTCTGACGCCGTCAAAGACAGGTTTTACGACGCCCTGAATGCCCTGCTGCGGCGAGCTAAAAGCTCAGACATTGTGGTGGTTGCCGGAGATATGAATGCACAACTGGGAAGGCTTAGAGTATCTAAGACTCAATTAGGAGGTCGACATGGATTGGACTCGGTGCGTATGGACAATCGGGAACGATTGCTTCAGTTGTGTGCTGATTGCAGGCTGGTTTTATGCAGCACTAACTTCCGAAATAGCCGAAGTCGTCTGGCCACATGGGTGCGGCAGCGAAGCATCGGTGTTGAACACTGGTTTCATGCTGCCGACGATGATGATGACGGACGATATTGTTCCATCCTGTTAACTCCTTTACGATCCCACTATTTCTTCCCGTTACTAACTGGAGCTACGGTTATAATCAGGAACACTTTAGAAAGCTCGTCCACGAGCACGGTCGTTTCGATCATCGTCGAAACATTCTTGTTTGGGTATCTGGCGAAACTTCCTAAGTGGTTTCGGGAACTGCGCTGTACTCACATAATCCTACCAATATGCTGTTGAGTAAGGACAACTGAGACCTACTACTGCCATACTTCACGAATTTTGATTCCTCCTTCTACATCAGTAATTTCACCGCGTGAAACTACGAAGATATTTGAGGATTCCGTCTACTAAACTTTTGCAGTCCGCTAGGCATCACTCGTTTCAATGTTCAGGTCCAGTCTGCGTAAAGAATTTATGCGCCTTCATCAACTGACCCCGGGAAGAATGAAGAGCACCCCCCAGAATAATTGACTCAGGCTTTTTAACCAACAACGGCCTAACGCATGTGCACAAATACAAAATATTCTTTTAGCTGCAACATTCGATGCATTACTGCCATGCCGTCTTGTGGAGCAATTTGCGACAGTAAATGGAACACCGAAGCTGTCAATGTCAAACAAATGACATGTTATATGTGTACATTAAGAAACAGTGCATTCTCAGTGGAATATGAAGGGTTAGTCATTGTTTTATATCTGCTGATTCGTCAATCTGTGGTATCTGCTGCTGACCCGCTCCAGTGCCTAGTGTCGGAGAGAAAAGACTCACAGAAGGGAACACAACAGCTGTATTCCGAACAAGCGAGTGAGTGAGAGAGCAAAAGTTACAACGGCCCCACGCTNCTGACATTGATCCAGGCTGTCTGCTAGGCGTTAGTGATCACCCATCAACATCGGTCGTGCCTCTGTGAAAAGCCTGAACGCTGATCACATTCGGTCGTGCTTCTGTGGTCGCAAGAACACTCATCAGGTCTTGCTAAATTGATTGAATGATTGATTGGTCTGGATGCTTGCCGGCTTTCCAGTTGAGTTTTTGGTGGAGCAGTAGGTTCTGGGCGTTCTGAAGTTGCTTTCAGGAATCTGACCTTCCTGATACATTGACTTCATGCGGCTGAGAAAAATCGAATAGAAAATATAGTACACTACGACCCGATCGTTTGTCAGCAAGTCACCCAGAGTAGTAGTGACGAATGCCCTATTTTCTACTTTGGGTATTTGCGCCGGTTACCACCAGGACTCATCACGCGCATGTGGGTTTCAACAGACGGACGAACTGCTCCCGTATCCATTTGCTGTTGAGGCGAAGACGGCCAAACTTATTTCGGGGAATCCAGACCTATGTGGTGGAATAACTCTATTTCCGGTTTTAACAATACATGGCAACAACCTTTACCGAGGACTTGTCGAACCCAAACTCGGATTACATAAGGTTGATTATCATGAGGGAATGGACGCTGGATCAACTCGCTCTGTATGGCATAATCAACAGTGAAGGTTCGGATGCCGTACTCTTTCCGCGTCGTAATTGCGTTACCACCCACCCTGGTTTTCAACAATCTGAATGTATCGTAGAATGCCCGCAGCTGCCAAATAAGTGTGCAACTCATATGGGTTTTTTCCCCTGTACATTATTGGATTCTGCTGGTGTACCACACTTGCGAACGCACTGACTAACTGGCTGGAACCCAAAAGTATAGCATAGCATTCTTTGTCCTCAAGGTTATGGGCACATTACAATGTGGAGACATCCTTCAATAATCCGCTACAATAGTATTCGAGCACAATATCCACTCTTCACTTCCATTCAGCTTTGTAGTTGATGAACTGGATAATAAGGGTCTTGAAAATTCCCATGTACAAATGACTACTCATGAAAACCATGTTGGTTAGCGATGAAATTATTTCCTGCTCCCAAAAAGTGTTATGGGAAAAGTTGTCGGTGCTCATTCAGTCCCTAGTCATGCGTTCTGTGCCCATAAAGTGTGTGGCCATGAACTAGGACGTAAGGCCTTTTGTACACGCTGTTTATAAAAAAATGATTGGAAGCTACGGAGCGTGTGGTAGTATGATGGATTGGGTTTGGGTCTCGAAGGCCGAAATAGCTCCCCAGCCACTGATGTCAAAATGGTATATAGTCGACACAGCAGGATCGTCTATTTCAGATCACAGTACGAGTTTTATTGCTAAATAGCTATGGAGAATGCCATGCATAGATGGGGAATCTGGAGCATCTCCACATCTTATGCCATAGAGGTCTCAGGTTCATAGTTGGTTTAGGCTGAAAACAGCCAATATGCAAAGTGATCATCGAACTGGTGTCCTGTGCGTCACGAACTCCGTTGGTTCTGTCACGTGTTACAAATGCCGAGCTTTTCAGCACCTCGGATGTTTGGGATGGGCTTTCACCACATCTTTTTTAGCATCACTTCTAGTTTTTATCAAAAACGAAGCGTTACAACAATGAACCACCGACATCTTGTTGCTATCACTGAGGTTGATTATGATGTAGGAGGAGTCAATTCTCGAGCTAGGTTTGATGACTGAATTTGAATGTGACAAACAGGTTAACCCGGAACCATTTGAGTGCAGAGATATCCAGTATGCCAAATTTTCTTGCTTTGGAAGTGACGACAGCACCAGCCGGGGTCCAGTTCGAGCAGCATGATGAAATGTGTTTGATCTGGACTCGTCCAGATTACCCCCTGGCTTCCTCTATTCACATGACATAAACGAGATAAACATCCGATGAGCATTAGCTCTGGGACCACCTTATCCTGCACATATTTTGGTATCGTTGTCTTCTGAGTTTTACACGGCCGCTATTTTGCTTACTTATCCCAATTTATCTCCAGCACCAGCCTTTTTCTAACTGCAATGAGTTGAGGTCAGTTCCCCTGTGTGAACCCATTGATACTGCTGCTCATTGGTTTGGTGGAACGGCCCATTAACATCCTCCCTCTATCGCTAGCCATGTTTCACGGATACTCAACCCTCTGTCCCATCTGTTCTTGCTGAGGTCATCAACCGAGCATTTGATATGGAAATGACCGGAGTAGAATGTGTTCTAAAGAGGGGTGTCCTCAGCCTACACTGATGCAACAGTCTTCGAATATTTTCCTCAGGCACTGCAGATAATAGATGGAAACTTTCAGCGAAGGCAAATCGCTTTGTCCCTGTTGTCCACCAACGTGCTGTCCAGGCCTTCGGTCCCCTCATTATGGTGCTTTCTAAAGTCTAGATACGCTCATGGAAAGAGGGAATTCACTACGAGGGGCCCTCCGCACAAAATGCAGTCATATGGTGAAACGACAGCAATAAGCCTAATTGAAAGAGCTTTCACTGTATGCCACCGTCTCATGAGTGCTTAGTGAAAAGTCGACCACCCACCTGAAGGCCTGGGGTGGCCAATCGTGAAGCTGTCACAGTTTCGTCAGTGATACTCATCTTCCCAGCACCTTACGTAAGCCGCATCACACCTCTGGAAACTTTCTCGACGAACTTGCAAGCAAAATCCATATTCGATGTATCACGGATGGTGTCCCATCAGTTTAGATCGAACTTGTATGCATCGTGTTTCAGAATGGATGAAATCAGCAACTGTTCAGGCGACCCTGTACAACTTAAACCTTATGAATATGGATCGAAGTTCTACAGCTTTCTTTTGATCTCAGTCCACAGAATGTATGATGTATATCCGCCGGCGCAGTATGCTCTTCCATAATCTACAATGGAATCTGAGGCAGATGGTTACAGGTGCGTGCCCATACTGATGATTTACTTATCACGCACCTTGTTCAACCACTTAGCTGGCGTCCACTAGGAGAGCCGATGCTTGAGACGGGCAATCAGTGCGATTCCCTTGAAAGTTCATACTTTCGGGTTGGTTTTTTTCAACCAAAGACTATATTTGCCACCTCGGACAAAACCGAGCAATACTGAGGTAATTAACTTCAGTAGACCTCCTTCAGGAAATGTTCCACCATTCTTGCATTACTTAACGATTTCAAATTAAATAACTACAATAAGATGAAATAAACTGGGTGTTGAAATCATTGTGGTGACGAACTCAAGTAGTCATGGTTTCATGCCTTAACTGGGCTGTTCACCTATCTATATTTTGTTTCGTGACTCCTCTTATTTTCTTCTCTTGATTCACAGAGGGGGTTGTACTTATCGATCCAGAGTATGTGAGAGACCGAAAGGTTTTCACTCATGTTTTGGCTGCCTTCCGATACGGTCGCGAAGACCTAGACGTTCTTGGACTAACATTTCGAAAGGATCTTTATTTGGCTTCAACACAAGTTTATCCTTGTGTTCACGGCAGTGCAGGCGAGAATGACAGCGAACAAACACTCGTAAATCCTCCAGTTGTCGTTGCTACAACCACCATGCGCGAGACTAAGGCTACACCTGGGCGTTCTTTTGGCAGTGGTTCGCGTACCGATGACGGAGTTGATGCGGGACCACAGCGGCTCACTCGTCTGCAAGAGCGCCTGATGAAAAAACTGGGCAATAATGCATTTCCTTTTTATTTCAAAGTATGCATTCATCGTATATATCGTTCTTTACACCATGTTCAAAACTTTGACGACCGAGATGCCATGAGTTTCATTTTCAAATATTCCATTAGGTATGTATATGATCTACCGAACGAGTCCCTCACCACCTTATTTGCCTTGCACTGGTTTATTCCAGTTTCAAACGGGATATTCGAATCAGCCTGTGCACGTGTTCAACATTCCACTCATGATGGCCTCTGGGTGATGAACAGTTGCTCGGTGTCATTCCACTATAACTTGACCCAAACAAATGTTCTATAAAGCACCAAGCCCATTTGACTTTATTCGTGTTAATTTCGATGTGAACACTCTCATTCAACCCACCTGTTCGATAAACGTATGTAGCGCGTGCGGTCAATTTGGTTGTTTCATTCATAGCAGAAAATTTATTTGAACAATAAAGGTGCGAAATCGAACTATGGGTTATGAGCTTGAGTGGACATGAGCGTGGAGACTGGAAGGGAATGGATCTGAAATACATTACTGGTAGCTGTACCACGAGAAAACGAAAGATCTACAATATATATTTGCACCCTAATTTGGTTTTCACGGTAGACCCAACTGAACCCCAGCTAAATCTCTCGTGTATGAATGTGCTGTACAAAACGGCTTGTCGTGTTTCAGTTGGTACGATATTCAGCATATCCCAATAAGTTTCCTTGGACGACACTACTCAAGTTCGCTGGGAAGCATTTAGCAACCTTAAGAGTAACTTATTCTCCAGGTGGAAGGTTGTTTGTAAGAGTCTGTTGAGAACTCAGTATCCTGGGTCGACGTTTACAAGACCTGTTCTGTCCTGTCTTTGGTCTCTTTATCCGTTGCGTGTATCGTTTGTTTGAACTGTTTTCATACAGTGCTCACATCACCCGCGAGTCTTTCGTGCCCGTTTTTTGATTTAAACATTGTCAAATCGACTTTTTTCAGACTCGGGCGTGGCTCGATGAGGGCTTGCCAGTAAAATGACCAGGTTGGCTACATAATACATACTATATACCTACAGAATGCTTTCTCAGCTAGAACAAAATCGACTAGGATGTTCAGTGAGCTTCAGTGTGAGAATCACTTTAAAAGTAACAGAAGCAGCTTTACATGATGTGGTTGGAATCAAATCAGTTGCATGTAATATTTCTAATGGCGAGTGGACACTCGTTCATTTGTTTTTAGCTGTCTCAAACTCTGAGGACACTCCCCCGGGATTCCATTAATTTGATCTTTCTGCTGTGTCCTTTCGACCGTACCAGTTTTCTGCAGCTGTCTTCACTTTGTCCACCCCACTTTTTGATTTTTGATTCGGCTCACTTATCGAGTCAGACAGTTTCCAACGTTTACCGTGCCCGACTACTCAGGTGGACAGGAGAGACATTAAGAATTCTACTCTGTTAGACTGCCTGTTACCTTATCTGACAGTTGTTATCGTTAAAACAGTTAGAGTTCTTATGGTGCAATTAACTGATGTTTATCCGCTGCATTCAATATTTGGTCGTCCTCCCCCTCAACAACTGAATGGATTGTATTCTGCCAGCAGATATTAGTACGTCTCCAGATAATCTAAAACACAATATGTACGAGCACGGCAACTGAGAAAGGTCACTTACAAAGGAGGAATAAAAGTTGTGCGTATGACACTGGGTTGCTTAATAATCATTACGCGAAAATCGAGGAACAGTGGTCAATGCCAAATACCAAATAATCGAGGGTCTGTTTTCGTTGGCCGTCGTGTCCGGCCAGTTTCTGGCCAGTTTGTTTGCCCGTACAGATTGGTACTGAGGTCAGGTTTGCACAGTCGGATGGTTCTCTTCAGCAACTGCGAAGAATCAAGTTCGCGTACACATGGATCGATTCCGTACAGATGGTACTGAGGTCAGGTTTGCACAGTCGGATGGTTCTCTTCAGCAACTGCGAAGAATCAAGTTCGCGTACACATGGATCGATTCGTGGAGACTCGCTTCGGCAACCGAAAGGCTTCGGTAGGGACGATATTACAATCAGAATCAATCAACTACATAGCAGCTGAATTTGACCAGTGCCTCTCAATTCCGTGGTTAACCAAACTGTGTTCACAGACACGCTTTGCTGTGCGACCAATGTTTGATTCCTTATATGAACAATCAAATGAGTATACACAAAAGTTTTTAATTGTTCCTGTCTGGGCTCGTACAACCTGGCAGTATGTCATCCATCGGGCCTCCGAGTCGCGCGCCGGCTATTTACTGAAAGTTGTTCACAACCGAACCATTCTTTTTGTATTTTGCTGTGAACAAGGGCAATATGAGGAGTTGCTTCATTCGGTTTCACAACCAAGTAACTTTTACTAACTAATTTATGCACTGTCCTCACCTTCACTTTGTTAGCTCCCACCAGATGCGCCCGCTTCTGTAATGCTACAGCCTGGCCCCAACGAAAATGGGAAGGTTAGTCAAATCTTTCTGGTCCCACTTATGTTATGGATATGATATCGCTCCTGGTAGGCCTCGCTCAACAGGAACACATGACTATCTCTTATGCATAGCAATCCTTGGGAGAAAGGACAGGTCACTCCCGTGGAGAGTCTGTGACAGTATCACACAACAAGACATCAGCTGGTAAACCATCCGTTCGTAGACAGGTCATCCTCCAGGAAAGATGATCCCCTTTGTATTTTTTAGGGTTGTTGGGCTGCTGTATACTATAACCTTTCGTGTGGCACAGCCTGCTTTCAATTGGTAGCATCAGTATGTTACTGGTTTATTGCCTTCAATCTGTGTGATGATTTTTATAAAATTTACGCTTCCTCGCTCTTTATCGTTATTTTACTGCCATTGCTATCACTACCAGTAAGAATTGGTCGGTGGTGCATCCATTCAAATCTGGATTTACTTGGTCTAGCCTTTTACTGACAGTGTATAGGCACTTTTCTGGACATAATTTACTATCAGTGAACTGAGAGCGTGTTTGTGTGTGTGAAAGAGAGTAAGTATTCAACTGACCTCGGGTAGACTCCTTCACCTGCACTTAGCTAACCAAGAGCAATGGTGTCGGGTAGAAAGAACGAGTGATGGCTGTTAAACCCTTGTATTGTGTGTTCATTTGCTTCTGTACGACACTTCCTGCTTTCTTTCATTGTGTAGATTAGTCCTGAATGTTACTCAGATGAGCCACGAGTTCCCTGTACCACCCACTCTTTCCATGAATCTTGAGAGCNTTTTGTTACATGAATTCAGGGTTAATTATTTCTTGTAGACCGTCACAACACCGCTGATGGTTTTGTGAAATGTGTACAATGATGGATGCTTTTTCTCATCACCCAATTAAAAACACTATGACTAATTCGAATACTCGGTTTCTGGTTGTTTTAGCCTTGTGGGGTTGACTATGAACTTCGAACCTATGTGGCGGATGGCACGGATGATAAACTACAAAAGCGGTAAGTCCTCAGTGTCGATTACGACGCAACGATTGAACGTGTGTTCCCCGTTCGAAAAATCAGTTCCGTAGTGCATACCATCATGGACTGCTTGACGTAACGGCGATCAAGGGGCTCACGTGACGACGGTCTATGTAGTGCACGCTAGATTAAATGTGAACGGGAGATGGCACGTGACCGTGTGATATGCATCTCGCAACAGAATTACATGGTCACTCTCTTTTTAAAGCATAGTTTCTACCAGCGCACTGGGACTTTGTGGTTAATGCATAGGGAAAGACCGAAAAATAACCACGACAGAGTCGTATGATTGCCCTGATTTTTGACCTCACTGTTAGCGCTTTTGGACTGAGTGCGATTGTTCTTGGTTTTTTTTCTACATGGTTGGGCGTCCAATTAATTTCCATAAAATCCCTGGATGGAAATCCCAAAGTTTCTCAGAGGGTGACTCGATACAACGTAATAATAAAATAATACTCGTTTAGCTGCAACATCCTTTGGGTTCTAGCTACCCTGCCACCCGAAAGAAGTATTCGGGCTGGAATACTGCCAGGTCTCTCAAGCCTGGATAGGAGGAGTCGAGATGCAGAGGTTGGGTTCGAACTACGGACCTTCCGGTCGGTAAACTCGCCCCAATCACTATGGCTTCTCGCTCCTAACGTAAAGTGTCTCAAGAGACGTTCACATTTTTACGTGAATTGCGAACAATTACAAACATCTTGGACGTTTTAATCGGATATCAGGCTATCTATAGGTTTTTGTTCAGGTATCATCACCAGCCGTCATCATGACAACAATACTTCAATTCTGTATACTGGTGCTTATCTGCCATACGATCATGAGGAATAATGTCCTAGCAAAAGCGAGGTAACTCAGTGGTTAAGGCGCGAACTTACTGATCGGAAGGTCCGTGGTTCGGCCCCAACGTAGGCATCTCGACTCCTCTTGCCTGGGATTGGGGAACCTGGCAACACCTCAGCCCTCGTTCCTCCTTTGGATGGTGTGGCCGATACGCACCGGAATGGTGTTACAGCTGAGCGATCATCATTTCTTACTGCTGTTAGTGTCCTAGCAAAGAATTACACAAACACGTCCCTATCGAAAGCACTCAAGAACAGGGTGTTTAAACTTCAAGATGACAACAAGACAAACCCGTATAAACATCATATCATAGTAAAATACCATCCGTTGGATTGACTCAACGCCGTTTGCGAATCTTACTTGAAGGGAATCTACCATACGACAGGCTTTAACTAAGCAGTCCAGCTAGGAAGTGACAGCATACTGATTCCTGGAATCAATTATACACCATGTCATTTGGGGTTTCTAACCACGTGCTAGGGGAATACAACCAGAGGCGCGGAGATCCCGCAGTACTCAGTTTGACATTAGCCACCTCCATGTTGCGTTACAAAGCCGCTGTCTTCCGACAAGAGTTTGAAGTTGAAAGCACTGCTTTCTTCGGCAGGCGGTAGTTGAGCATGCGAAGTGTATGTTTCAACCACCGTAACTTGATGCGTTTCATTTGCTGCTTTGGTGGCTGTGATTCACTATAAGCTTATAGCTCATACATCGCTTTATTATGAACACCTTTCAGCCTGCTAACATATGCTGCATTGCGTCCTCAGGTCGAGTGGGGACAAGTTCCGTTACCATAGAGTAAGGCTGTTCTTACAGATAGCCTGCACACATGACCTGTTAGCTTCAATGAAGTTCGTTTCTGGCACTGCACAAATTTCGCCTACACCTTGCTAATGCATGAATTGACTTCTGTCACTGCGCCATCATGGCCTATTTAGCTATCCAGACAAGTAAACCAGTCAACAGACCCAACTTCCTCTCCCTGAAGTTTCAGAGGGTCACAGTGGAACTCGAATATCTAAAACAGTGCTTTTCACACATTGAGAATGCGGCTAGGTGTCACACCCAAAATTCTATCTAAAGCGCACTGTGCGGACTGATGGTCCTCAAATCGCAGAATATCGTCATCCGCATAGTTCAAGTCTACTAACCTTTTTCTGGACCTAATTTCGATACCAAGTCTGTATCCCTTGATTTCGACATTACATTATACTACTAATAAGGAAAATAAACAGGAGGGAAAAGGGAGAGAAGCCTTACCGAATTTCACTAGTTTTGAGGAGACTTGCGAGCAGGTGGTTGTACATTCTTATACCATCAGAAGTGATAGAATAGATAGCGCGAAGTATATTTACAAGCTTTGGAAGTATTACTCTTTGGCCAAGTGTATGTAGAACTGGCTATCTGCGTATTCAAGGGCTCCTTCGTAGTCCAGAAAAACTGCAATCGTTGGCGGCGACATGTCGGGCGCTGTTCATGCATTTGACCCAATATGATCAATGAGTCCCCTGCCCTGACAATATTCTGCCTGTTCTCGGATTTGCATATCACATTCCGGTATTAAATGTCGCATTATTATTAGCCCTGTTACAACTAGGATGAGTTTTACATCCATATGGTTGATTCGGTCGCTACAGTGGTTGATTGGTCCCAGTCATCTCATGTACGTTCTTGTTCCCACCTACGTTCAAACGATACAGTTAAGGCAGAACACAAAAATCCACACTCGTCCCTAAGTAGCGCTGGTGAAAACTCATCTGGCCTGGTATTTCGATGGCGTTTCAAGGTAGAAAGACATTAGTAGTTCATCAAATGAGGGAGGATCCAAACTCAGACCACAGCTCAAGCTGTCCAGATGGAATGAAAGGCATAGTTATGAAAGTTGATGGACGACTGAGTTAGTGGAAGTATTCTGCCCTGCAGGTGGAATGCTTGCCACTCGTTGTGTTACATTCCCTATATTATGTGTGATTGGCTCACCAACAGACAATTTCATAGGTCCCGTTTTTTTCTGATTTACTGGAACAGCTTCCGGGCACTCCTCGCTTCATTATCCTCTCCTTTTTTGAGCTTGTTGTTTGCACTACACCTCTATCCACACAAACTTCGTTCGAGTTGATGTCTAACAGACCGATTAGGCGATTTATTCAGCGGTTCCGACCGTTCTGATCTGTTCATTGTTTGGTATGTACGGTCTCAGAAACACTACATGCCGAATTCACACCTATTGTTTTCTGCGCCCTATTTTGATGCGAATTCACGATTGAGTCTTGAGATTTTGGCAGTAGATTAATTTTTGTATTTAAGTGGCATTTTGCAACGATTCGTTGCCCTGTTTTTTGTTAATACAACCAACGCCGGTCACACTGGTGTATGATTAAACCTTACCTGTTTTCATGCGTGTAATTATTTTTCGCCTAATCCTTTAAATACATCAAACAATACCATAATGCACCCTTGGTACTAAACACATGTTTACCTCACAATGTGCCCAAATCGCATACTTTATGGGGTCGTTCTAAACGCGGCCGCTCATCTGCGACATAGCAGTCGTAAAGCCTTCAAACTTAATTTTCGCGGCAAACTAATCCATTGGTGCAATTGGCGCGACGACATTGTATTCAGATAAGGCCTACAGAAGTCAATATCCTGATAACTTTATTTGGACAGTCGGACACCCAAAACCACTTATTTACTTCATCTCAGCTAGCATCTATGTTAGGATGAGGTGAATCCGTGGACGATTGTTCTGTATATGGCGGTAGGTGGTAAGGCCTGCGCACACTTTGACCGAGTGTCGTTTCTAGCGTCGAGGACCGTACACTTGATGTCCCGAACAAACGGGGCCACATGTGTCTATCCACATTTGCGTCCACAATGACGTGCTGTGCGGCGTAGCACCATCAGGTTCAAGGTAATTTCAAATCTCGACCTTCCAGGTACTAAATTATGTATTAGAGTGGAATATTGATTATGGTCCGGGGATCCAAAAAGATGAATAGGTTAGAACCCCTCACCATCAACGCAACAGTCAGTGCCATGGGCCTTAAAAAGGCATGTAGCTGTTTGCATTTCACGTGAAATATTCGGAGGAGGATTGTATTCACACCACGATTGAAGTATCAAATCTTGAGATCGGTTGCCCTCCTCTGACTCTAAATCCAGTGCGTTTGTTGGCTTTATTTGGTAGCTGTTGATGCTCTCTTAAGATTACCAGTAGCGTGATTACACTCGGTCCACGCTGTCGTTTAAGCCACAGAAAGTTCGCTACTGTCAATAAGTCATAGTCTGAGGAAAGTATGTACGTAAACAGACGAGCGTATGAAAAGAACATCTTACCTTTTTTCATTCCTACTCGGTGGATGTGGTCCTCAAGTAGAAGCTAGTTGTTTTCGGTTGAGCAACATCCGCGCTGAGGTGGAATGCCTGAATGACTATAACCGTGCCACTGTTTTTATTCTCCTGGGAAAAGTAGGAACCTGAAATTTAGCGTGTAAATGTTTGAAAAACAGGTAGTTTTATACTTTTTTTTGCTAAGGCATCGTATGGGGGTATGCGATAGCTTTTATGCTGTGTAGTTGTGTTTGAAGATTTTTCACTAACTTATCGAAATCAGCCAACTGGCGGCCGTATCTTCATAGGCGACTTTGGTACACTTGATGTAACAGCGTTCTGTCACGTTTCTATGCGGCTTTAGCCTACACAATTCGTTTCGGCCCGAGTTGATTTTGCCCACTTATCTTGCGTTGCCTGTTTCCTAAACAGCACCAATAAATTATGCGTCTACTGGATTTTAGACTGGCTTCATCAGTCTTAGGCTGACGAAGACTCCTGGAATCATCATCATCATTGTCAGCCGTAATAACCGCGTACTCGTCGTACAGTGGTTGTAGCTGCCGCAGTTTCGTTCACCGATGTTTTTTTTTTGGGGGGGGGGACAGGTACAGTGGGCTGTCAAGTG